AAAAGATCTTTTTTTTTTTTTTTTTTAGAGATTGCTTATCGTGATTCTAGAAATTCTCTAGTCGATAACCAATCGAAAGTCTGTATCAGACTAGGCATTGAAGATTGATTGGAATTTGACTAATCAAAACAAAAGAAGCTGAAATTGATCTCTTTTGATTGATCAAATTTCACTCTTCAATCTCATCAATCTAGAAATAATAATAAAATAATAATAATTTAAAATAATAACAATCTTCAATGCGTCCGATACGCTACTGCGCATGCGCAGGTTTGGTTCCGCGATCTTCCCCCACTGATCGCAGCCAATCGGCGCGTTCGACAAAATTCGACGTAGGAGTAATGAAATGTCACCCACACGCGCATCGCGTGTGCCAGATTTCTTCTGTAACGACGTCACGCGCGCGCGAGCGAGCCTCGCGATGATGTTTGACATTTCGTCAACTTCTTACGGCCATTGACGATTGCGTCAATGCCGAGGAAAACGTGTGACGGGTAGCGCGCAGTGCGGGGGTGCGTGGTGCGTCTTCTCCGTGGCGTGTTTTGTGTTTTCTCGGACGCATCCATCGCGCCCCTTCTGTTCTTCTCTTCCACCTCCTCCTCCTCCGTTGTCGAGTTCGCGGCTCCTCCCCCGCCTCCTGCGGTGCATTGCTCCTAAGAATCAGCAACGATAATTGGACGTCACGATCGAGGACAATGATAATGGACGAGGTGTATGAATCCTGAGGCTGTGCGTTTGACCAACGTTGATCGAATCCCGACAACGTCGAGTCTTGCAGGGGACAACGACGGCAACGCCACATATCGATCTCCGATCGCGGACGATGCATCCTCGCATTGTTGATAAACCATCGACCTCAGCACGTCGGTAGAAATCGGACACGCGAGAGAGATGGAGATCATCGGCGACTACGAGTACAATCCCAAGGACCTGATCGGCACCGGCGCCTTTGCCGTAGTCTTCAAGGGCAGACATCGCAAAGTGTGTATCCTTCAGCTTGTCTTTATTGTCATTTTTGTCAGCATCAATTAATAATCTGTCACAAGTTGTTTTTATTTAATATTAGTATGAAACCTTTCGCAAAAGTCCATTGTCTTCGAACGTGACTTTGTAATACTCTGATTCTTTTTTGTAAAACTTTGTCCAGATTTTAACAGATACTTTGCTTTGGAATAGTGTGCACGATAGATAAAGTTTATTGCAGAATTTTGTTATACTATTTAATGGAACACAATATCTGTTATTATTTTTTACTTCTAGTACTTTGTTATTCAATAGATAAGATGCTTCAGAAAGTAGCCTTTGCTATTTTTGATAATCCTTTGTGAATCTTTCTTTTCTTATTTTTTTACATGATTTAACAATATATATTATATAAAATTATAATTTAGAAATCTCTTTATATCCTGTCATTGTATTTAATCTAATTTAATATTTAATGTATATTTGCAATACAATAATTACATCTAATTGCTTCATATTCTGCAGAAACCAAATTTGGTGGTGGCTATCAAGAGTATCACAAAGAAAACTTTAGCCAAATCACAGGACTTATTGAAGAAGGAGATTAAAATCTTAAAAGTATGTTCTTTATACTTATATTAGCAGATTTTTTAAGAACTTTATATACAAAAAAATATTAATGAATGTTTAAATTATATTATTTATTATAATTATCTTGTAATATTCTTTTATCTATTTTAAAAATAAAATTGGAAAATAAGAACAAAAGATTTATATATATGTATAAATAATGCTTTGTCTTACAGGCATTAACTAAACTGCACCACGAAAATGTTGTTGCGTTGTACGATTGTAAGGTAAGGCTATCAATTCAATTTTATGGAAAAGTATTTATTATTACTTGTGATAAAAATATTAAAATTAATCTCTTTAATACAGGAGTCTAATCATAATGTCTTCCTGGTTATGGAGTATTGTAATGGTGGAGATTTGGGAGATTATTTAAATGGTGAGTTTACTTAAACAATTTAAAAGAATTGCAATGAAGAAAATATCTTAATCGAAGAATTAAATAAAACTGCACATTTTCTCAATAATAAAATTAATGAAATCTTAGTCAATTTGTCATGATATGAATTATTTATATATATATATGAACATACATACATATAAATAATTTGTATCTTCTCATAATAGCAAAAGGTACTCTCTCCGAGGACACCATTAGATTGTTTCTCAAGCAATTGGTTCGTGCAATGAAGGTGTTGCATGCCAAAGGAATAGTCCATAGGGATCTCAAGCCACAAAATATTCTGTTGAATCATAACTGTGGCAAAGCTTGTCCACAACCACATGAAATAACATTAAAAATAGGTAAGAATATTTTTATTCTAGCCTTTCATTTTATCAAGTTTGAATTTATTTGTCCATTTATTTTATTTCTTTTCGTTGTTGGGTTTATGAATTCTTTTAGGGTTAATATATATGTCGATAATATATGCCAGTAATGTTTTTTTTGTCATGATATGAATTATTTATATATATATGAACATACATACATATAAATAATTTGTATCTTCTCATAATAGCAAAAGGTACTCTCTCCGAGGACACCATTAGATTGTTTCTCAAGCAATTGGTTCGTGCAATGAAGGTGTTGCATGCCAAAGGAATAGTCCATAGGGATCTCAAGCCACAAAATATTCTGTTGAATCATAACTGTGGCAAAGCTTGTCCACAACCACATGAAATAACATTAAAAATAGGTAAGAATATTTTTATTCTAGCCTTTCATTTTATCAAGTTTGAATTTATTTGTCCATTTATTTTATTTCTTTTCGTTGTTGGGTTTATGAATTCTTTTAGGGTTAATATATATATCGATAATATATGCCAGTAATGTTTTTTTTTCCAGCGGATTTCGGTTTCGCTAGGTTTTTACAGGAAGGCGTAATGGCTGCGACATTATGTGGGTCACCAATGTACATGGCGCCCGAAGTCATTATGTCCCTCCAGTATGACGCTAAGGCGGATCTGTGGTCCATCGGAACCATATTGTATCAATGTCTCACTGGGAAAGCACCGCACCCTGCAAACAACCCTCATGCACTCAAATCAATCTATGAGAACACAGTCAATCTTGTCCCTAGGTACAAGCAATATTTAATAAGAGTCTCATTCTTTCATATTGTTGGTAACTATTTAATTTCTATTCCTCAGAGATCGAAAGAGTTTTGAATTATAGATTGGAACTTTCTTGTGTGAGAAACAATCCTTTTATGTTTCCATATAGATTTTTGTTATTTCATCATCATTTATGTGTTAAACTTCTTTTTTTTTGTATAATTTCTTAAATTAGGAACTTGAATAGATTTACTAAAACTTGTATAGATTTAAAAAATCTATTTAAGCTTTTTTCATTATCGTAAGAAAGAAATTATAATATAGAAAATATTATAAGAAAAATATATACTATGTATGTTCCTGTTTTAGCATACCGCCTGGAACGTCGCTCGAACTGACGAATCTCTTGATGGGATTGTTGAGGCGTGAGGCGACCGATCGCATGGATTTTGATCAATTCTTCGGTCATGCGTTCCTAACGGGTACTCGAGACAGTCCTAGTCCGAGCCCGGTGCCCGCCGAACTGCCTGCGTCTCCGGGTACAATGGTGATTCCGATCGAGGAAGGAACGCCGATTGTTAATAACCCAGAACCCGAGACGACGGAAACTCCATGTTCTAGTCCCGAGGACGACTTCGTTCTTGTACCGAGCGATATCAGCAGTGATACTGATAATAATCCACCAGTAAAGTAAGTTTAAATTAAATAATTGACTAAAAGAGACAGATACAAAACAAAGTTAGATTATATGTATGTTTTAATTAAATTAATAATAAAAAGAAATTTTATAATTTCATATAATCTGTAGAATTGTATTTTCGATCTCCAAATATTTGCATATTTTAATATATTTTGTTGTTTTTTAATGTGTAAAGCATTTTGTCAAAATGTTTGTTATATTGTTTTTATTATTTTTCATAGGTATACTAAACAAGTGAGTAGGGAAGCCATAAGCCCCCTCCGACCCTGCTTATCGAAATTGGGCGAGTACGTGACATTTTATTATACTTTTTTTGATATATCAGAGTTTATATATAAAAGTATATATATAACTGCATTTATTGCAAACCTGCAATTATATTATGCAAAGATTAATTTTATTAGTATTTAATCATATATTTTTCATTTTGATTATAAGAGTATAAGAAATTATATAGATATCAAATTAACTACACTCTCTCAATTTCCGTATTATTACTATATTTCTATGACTTATATTCGCCAGATATGCTAGACAAACGAGTAGGGAAGCTATCAGCCCACCCCGGCCATGCTATCTGCCAATCTCTGAGCCGATTCCCGTTCCATGTCAACGAAATGCAGCAGTTCAACAGCCACCGCAGTCTCCATTGACGAATGCCGCCCGTTCCGGCGGCAGCAGTGTTGTTCCTCGCTCCCAACCTATCAGCATGAAACGCAGCGTGGATTCCCACAGGAATCATCCGCCAGACATCGGTTCTCTCAGCCCACCTAGCGTGCAGTTTGTCATCGGTACCCCACCCGGCAGAAGGTACAGACATTTTTTTCTGACAGAAAGAAGACGAGCATTACAAATAAGTCATGAAATTTTGAGTTATTGTATTTCACAAAAATATAATGATTTCTCTTTCGAGAAAGGAAAAGGGGAAGGAAAATAATTTTTATTTCTTTATCCATAGGATTATATATTTTCCCAGAGTCTCTTTTCGATCATTGATATTCCGCTTGCTCTTCGAATAAAGCTAATTTGTAATTTGTCAATTGTTAGATTGAGTGAGACTCCGCCGCCGCCCAATACCTGGCAAGTGAGTCCTGTAGCAAGGCACTCGCATACGCCAAGCGGAACCTCCCCGTTGCGACGTTCCACGGGCAACAACAGCGCATCTTCGCCACTTCTCACGGGTCCACTGGCAGTGCTCGGTTCGCCTACCTCGCGAGCTTTTCAGGACAACAACAACACCCTCAGGCATTCGCCTGTTATACCCTTTGGCACCAGAGCTGTCACTCTTCCGGAGATATCTGGTAACATTCTTTAACCAAGATCTTACGTTTGAATTATTATTCACATCAGCTGGAGCGATGTATCAAGATTTGTGAAATCTTATCGTTTTTCAATAGTCATCAATTAACAAGTAATCTCAACATCGCTCCGACTGAAGTTTCATGTTTCTCAATAGCTAGAACATCGTACAACAAATTACAAAAAACATCATCTGTTACCTGCTATTAACTCCAATCTGTTTTCGTATAAATTCCATTATTCTCTCTTTCTCGTTTATAGAAGCCGGTAGTTTCCAAAACCTCTTTCCGGACATACCACCAACGACGATCGATGATCGTCCGTTGACGTTTATCGCGCCGGAATTGCCGGAGGAGACGCTAATGGAACGCGAGCATAACGAAATCCTGGCGAAACTGAACTTCGTCGTCGCGTTGTGCGAGTGCGTGTGCGAAGTCGCCCGATCCAGAGCCGGACCGCTTGGTAACATCGAGCAACCAACGCCGCTCAGTGGTATCGAGCAGATCGGTAACGCGGCTACTAGGAAACGCGCCGAGCAAGTCATCCTGCTGGTTCGGGCTCTTCAGTGGCTTAGTTCAGGTCTGAATCTGGCTACTCAGGAGCTCAAGGCTGGAAGATTGCAACCGACGGCCACCGTGAAGGAAGGTGAGTAGATTTTGTAAATTTAGAATTTTTTTAAATAATATTTTAAATTTTAACATATTTACCTCCATATAAAAAGATCTTTCTCTCTAAGAACTTTTAAATTTCATTTTAAAGTAAAGTTCGCGTGCAAAACTGAATATAAAATAAGACTATTTTACGTATTTCTATTCTACGTAACTTAATTCATGAGTATATGTTTGCAACATAGATATATTATAGAAGGAAAAAAATTTAGACGAGTTAATATATATATTATCTTCTCTCTATAATATTATAGTCGTCAGCACCATGAACGAGAAATTTAAGTCTTGTTTGACGGAATGTAAACAACTCAACAGCGTGGGGCTTCTTCGCCAAACAGGAGCCACAGCGGACAAGATATTATACAATCATGCGATTCACATGGTAACAAAACTTTATTCCTTTTTAATTATATTTATCGCCATTCTCTTTTGATATTTTCTCCTCTCTCTTTAAAGCCTTAACATATATCTGTATTATATCTTTGACAGTTGAAAGATAATTAAAAAATTATATCTAATGTTATCGTTTGGTATACAAAATATTTGATGAAATTACTTTTTCAGTGTCAATCGGCGGCATTAGACGAGCTATTCGGCAAAGGCGGCGAATGTTTCCAGCGCTACCATACGGCGCAGATATTATTGCACTCGTTAGCGCAGCATGTCAGCCACAGTCAAGACCGAGCTCTGCTCATTAAATGTATGTATTGCATGTAAATATATGTATCTTTTTTTTTTCAGTAAAAATATTAACGCAAAAGCTCTTCCTTAGTTACCTTACCAATCGTTTTCACGATTTTGATGTTTCAACTTTATTTGAAATTTTATTCAAATATGACAAATCCCATTCTTTTGCATTAAGTTTCATATTTATTTATCAATATGTAATTCGTAAACATTGTATAAGAAATAGTACATAAATATTCTCTTGTTAAATCTCATTTTTTATCATCTCTATTTAAAAAAAAAGTAAAGATTAAATTATAATTCCCGCAGACATGTTTTTTTAAATTTATTATAGGTTTTATGGTTGCCTTGATCACGATTTATTGGTAATCTTTTAGACAAAGAGGCTGTGGAGAAGCGGTTATATGTGCTACAGCAGCAAGGATACATCTACGCGACTGAACTTACGTAGCGCTTGTGAAACACGATAGCCGAACATGGCAGCAACAGCCGCCCGGAAGAGGTCCCGCCCGTGCAGCAGCCGCCCGTACTATCGTACTCGATATCTCTCTTATGTAATATATTCTGCCCTATTCTGTATAAAAGGCGAGATTGAAGCCGAAAACTATAAGCTCTACAGCTCGAAACGGAGACGGGACTAAATTCTCGCGGCTGACTTTACTTTACCGAGGCTAATTAACCCAAAAAAAAAGAAAGCTCCACCTAGTTCCATGTGCGGAATAGGGTAGACAATGAAGAAAATGAAAGTCTCCTAAGTCACCATATCCCCTATTCATTCACCCGCCCCCGCCCCCGCCCTCTTAAGATTTCTTTGTATGATTTATTAAAACTTAGTACAATTAAGGTATTATAATTGTACACTATATAATGTACGTACACGTCGATCGATTAACTAATCTTTATTTCGTATATCGATCAATAAACATGTGTATACTAACGGCGTTGTGCGTTCAATGCAAAGGCACGTCTCGTCGACGACTGCGGTGGTCAACAAACAATAATGACAATTGTACAAAAGTAAAGTAGTGAATGATGGGCATATTCGATTATCTCTCTTAAGGCCATGACACGTAAACAAGTTTTAATCGTAAACGTAAGGCCGTAAGCAAATCGATCAATCACAGTCGAGCATCTCACAACAATGTAATAAAAATGTTTGACTATGATTGGTCGATTTGCTTACAGCCTTACGATTACGATTAAAAAGTTTTTATATATTATGGCCTTTACTCTTTCTTTTCTTTGATGCTAAATCCAAGAACAGCGAGTCGATAAATTATGCTTTTTTGATCCACAGATTGTCGATGCAAGATTATTTTTTTCGATTTTAAATAGCAGCTTGCACAAATCTTTCCTTAAATGACTTTATAAAGAAAGAAAAAGAAATATTAATGCACAAAATATTTCATTTAATATATTAATAATATAAATTTATATTAATATTTTATTTAATATATTAATTAATTAATTAAATAAAGAAAAAAAATGATGTAGATTTTGATAGAAATATTTTGCGGAGATATTATTTTTTTTTTTTCGCTTAACATTTTTTTTTTTTCATTGTATACATATACAAATACTCGATATTTATTCGTTATATACTCAGATTATTGATTCAAAGTATTCGTTGAGCCCATCAATAGCATCGATTTCGTGAGATATGTTTTCCCAACATAAAAAGCTAACTTTGTCTAAGCAAAGATTTATGACTTTCTGTCTCTCTCTTCTCTCTGTTATGTTTGTCTTTAATTTTTCTTTTCCTCAGTCTTCTCGACAGCCGGGAGCTGTTTGTTATCTCGGTAGATGACGTAGTTGAATACTGTGGCGAGAGAGGTCCACACAAAGTAGGGAATGATGAGATAGCCGGCGACAGGATTGACGTGGTAGAATGCGATTCCAAGTGTCGCCGTGCTGGCTGACAATGCTACAATTTCGTAGAGAGCCTGCGCACAAGTGTAAAACGGTAGTTTTAATAGAGTTTTCGATCTCGAAACGGTTTTATGGATCGTTCTGCGAGTGTTTAATTTTCTCTAAAGTTCAAAATGCGAAAGTTCATTATCAAAATCTATGAACGCACGGTAGATCTATTCTTTTTTAGGATTTATTGCACATAGTTGTACTTAAAATTTATTATTAGTATAAAAGTCGATAAAACGAAGAAAAGAAGAAATAGAAAGTAATAAATTCTCTTCAGTCGAACTTCAGTAAGATAATTGAAGTGAAAAAATCGCTGTCGAAGCGATCCAAATCCGTTTCGGTTTAAAACCGCTAAGAGATAGATCAGATTCTGTTCAAACTAGGAGACTATTCGAGCGGTTTGGTTATCAGAGCTTATTTTTTTATATCGTTTTATTTAAAAAATATGAATATTATCATGTTATCCTATCATGTTTCCATATTAAATGATGGAAATTATATATATTGCATAAAACTGTTTATGTAATTTCCATTTCATTTCCACATGTCAGATTTAACATTAAACTTTTAGAGAGAAAATGTATTTTTTTATTACGGCGGAAAATTACAAGTTCTTTGTAATTATATTGCCTAGTTTTTCTAGTTCCAATAGCGTCGCGTTTACTCGCAAATAATTAATATTATTCTCAAAAGACGCTGCTTTCGAGAAGACATCTATTTTTAGTATTTTTTTTTTTCGATAAAATTAATAATATCTACGAAAATACACTCGAACGGTCTCGTATTGTCAGATTTTTAAATTAAATAAACGCGTATGTATGCGTGCGTATTGGATGTAATACCCATTTAACGTTATGAGTTCCGAAGAAGAGTGGCGACCACGACCAGTTGAGGGCAAGATTAAGAGCGTACACGCTGAGCGGTACGGCCGCCTCCTGCAGGCCACCCCCGTCCCGCCACACCAGGTACGACGAGTAGCCCATTGTACAGTAAAGGGTGGTCCATACAGGTGCGAACAACCAGTTTGGCGGAATGATTTTCGATTTGTTCAGCGTCTATAAAACAAGAGTAACAACGGATTATGAAAGCGCGACCTATGTCTATCTACGTACAAAACGATATTATTATATTATATATTAGCAATAAAATGTGTAATTTATTGTAAACACATTTGCAATATCTTCTACGATCGATAGTAAATGGAGAGGTTTTACTCTGTATTCTCGCTTAAGTTCTATGTCTGTTTTGTGTGAGTAAAAGAAGAGTATCCCGAGAGATAATGTATCTGCGCTATTACTTTATACTTCTTGTGATATAAATGTATCCGAGAGAAACAGCAAAGACGAAAGAATCTGCTAATTTTTGCTATAAATACACTGACAAGTAATTAGAGATTCGTGAAACTGTAATTGTTCATCATAATGATTGATTACGAATATGATTCATAGATTGGTATGTTTTATTTATTCTGTGGAATTTACGTCTTTAGGCATAATTGCCTCATGCACACAATTGTAATTAAATTATAAATAACACGCAACTCTCTCAAAGCTATTACAATCGCGATATGTATATTACACGGATGTAATACACAGTTACATATGATAAAATATATTTATAGTTATATACATATAAAGAATACGTGCATACACATATATATAACTATATGAAAACATTTATAAATAATGAGTAATTATAATAATTATATATGATTATAATTATATAAGTATCAGATTACAAATATAATTATAAATAATTATATAGACAACGATATTTTTATTGCAATAATAATTGTCGCTATGAAAATGTATACGTTTTATAGACAGACCTACATACTAAAGCAAACTGGATCGAACGATTTAAATAGCAGCAATTGACGCGAATCGCTCGTGTATATCGATTCGTGCTTATCGAGTGACCTTCGTTTATAAACACTTCCGTGAGTTTAGAATTAAAAACGGCAAAAAACGTCATATCGAGAATAGTACTTTAATCGATCCATTATAACTTTCTTGGGTTTTCATTACGTCGCGATGACGTAATCCCCGGCGCCGGTTTGGCGTCGCACCAGCATGACACATTCGCATATGATCCTCACCTCGTACCAATTCATATTCCTCTGGGTGATGTAGCCGCCGACCCAACCGCCGATGTTAGGGCAGACCGTCGCCGTCAATAGAGGCCAATTAATCCGCACCGGCATCTTTTTATTCTTGAGCTAGGACGAAATGGAATGTACAGATTTCTCGCGATGTTACGTTTGCGGAGAACGTCGATAGACTGAACGTAAGCTTACCTAGCGACGTAAATTGCGATGACTATTGCTTTTCCATGGCAGTGACGTAACTATCGTCATACATTGGTTTGTGCTAGGTAGCTCCTATTAAAGTGCTTTATTTTCAACTTGTTGCAGTCCAGAAGATAATGTATTGTTTATCAATATTCTTTGATCAAGCATCTCTTTTTTGATTGTCTAATAAAAAAGAAGAAACAGCATGAAACAGCATCTTTGAAATTTTTTCAAGTAAAATCAGAATTACATACACTATTTAAAAATAGGAAGTATAAAATGTAGATGTGTACAGTATTTCAGTCAGTGAATTCAACCCATTGATATATGAGAGCTCCTCAGTCCCCCTATTGAAATCGTCGAAAAATATATATCAATTACAATAAAAAGTCAATAATTTGAAAGCATCTAAAACAGTCATAATAAATAATTATTAACATATATATAAATAAATAATAAATAATTATTACTTACTATTATGTTTTTCATCGCAATTAAATTTAAAGAAGGGCGATACAAAGAAATTTTTACAAATTTTTGCATGAAACCATTCGGATGGTGATTAAACAGTACATGTAAGAGAAAAAAATAGAGAAAGAATTATGTGTGTATACATATATACATATATATGTATATATTTAAGTTTTGCTATCATTGTGGTACAAATTGCATATATATTAAATTATATAAATTCGCAAAGTTCAACGAGGTACGCTTTCGCGCTTACGTGCGATGCGGATGAAAGAGAAGTGCAAAACAAAAGATAAATGCTTTAAAGAGAAGAAGAATTAGTGACTTAGTGCGAAACACCTTTCAGCTGACATTTCTTGTTTGTAAGATCAAACGGTTTGATACGTTTTTTATTTATACATGAATAAATACATTTTAATAAATATATACATGTCGGAACAGAAAAGTAATAATTATATGATACATATTCGATGCATTCTCTTTACACTATATTTTATAAGAAATAAACGCGGTATCTCGAATATAAATATATATATATGTATATATACATACATGTATATATATATACATATATACAATATACATATATATCTGTATATCAGAACTGTGTAATTTACATGTGTGTATGTGTACATATATACATGCATATAGATTTCTCGGTATTTTATCAATGCTTTATGCATGTCGTAATCAAACTATGATATCGAATGGATATCAATTCAATTGATAATAAATGTGTGTATTTGGTGTATCCAAGCGAGAACCGTATGCCGAGTACCCCGGAATAAACTAGTCAAATTATAACAATTCAGTCTGAAGTCAATTTCTCTCTAATTAAACTATCGAGATGTTCAATGTTTTTGAAATAATTAGCCATCTAAAATAAGGCATCTTTTCTAATTAAGAAAGGATAAAAGATAAATAAATACAAAGCTATATAGTATATAATTGATTTGAAACAGGTTTTAACAAGTTTCTTTATTCGAAACCTATGTACAGAAATTTCGGAAAATAGCATTAAAGAGATAGTAATCCCGTGCGACGATTTTTTTTCCTAGGAAAAAATAGATTCGACAGATTTATCAAGAAAATTTGTTGTGAAATTAGATCAGCTTATATACTCCGAGGTTTAACCGGAGAGTACAAAGAACATTCACTAAAACATTCTACAACGGACTTTATTCAAAACTAAAATCAATAAAAAAATACACGGGATTGCGATTCCTTCCGTTTGCGGTCAGTTATTTACGACGTTATATGTGTGTATGTAATTATAATTTACCTTTATACGGCGTAACGAGTAAAGCACTGTTCATTATGTTTTAATGCCGGCACTACTTATACCATCACCACTTTATAATGTAAACTCTCGTCTGTTATTCGTAATTTTTCTTGATTCGCGTTATTCTGATGAGTTCTTTGCCAGCCGAAAATGCTTAAGTTCTTCGTCTCACTCACTCTTTTCGCTTTTGCTGTCCTTATCATGTACAGCTCTTTCCTTCCTACGATCAGACTTAGATGCGAACAGATGATCCGTGACGCGTTCTTTGACGAGCTTCTGCGGAATCACCATGATAGTGGTCGTGGTATTGCCTAAGAATAGTACAAGGAACATAGCACTGAGTACCGACACATGCCATGTCGCCTCTGAATGATATGCCAATTCGTATAACGTGTACGCGTTGTAAAGCTGAAACAGGTAACCGACGAAGAGGAACGGCAGTAGAAAAGAAAGACCGCGCCACATCCACGAATGAAATCCTTCGATAGTAATGTCCATATTGTCTCTCTCACCCAACGCTTTCAATCGATACAAAACGCCGCGTTGGTACCGAAACTGCAAGTATTGAACTACACCTAAGGAAATAATATTATGTCATTAAATGGAAATTAATTGTTATAAGCAGTTGAGTGCAATTGTTATGCTAAAAATTGCACAATACTTACTGATGTATACGTTGAACCACATGAATTGGTTACGAAAGATATACCACGGTCCTGTATTTGGCCACACCAATAGAACAGCGGATACTACAGTAGAGAGAAAATGATGAAATCTCCACCATCCTTTGATTCTCGATCCGTTCACTTTGAGTATACTTTCTCTTATTGTCAGCGTGCAATAGTACCAAACGAGAAGAAACATAAAACTAAGTTCTAAAGTCCTAAAACATAATAAAAATTATAATAAAAGTATTACATATGAATAAAATTTATATTTGATAGAAAATAATGCAATATTGGTCATACAAATGTGAATTATACATAACAGAGCTATTTTATACATACCTTATATTAGTAAATAGATTTACTACGGATAATACAAATCCAATTACTGACAGAACAAGTTTAAATTTCTCATATTCATCTTTGTATTTGAATCTGAAAGTGAACAAGTGTTATGAAACCACTCTGAATGCAACATAAACCAGGCTCGATTCTTAATAGCATAACATACTTGTCGCTTTTATTTAATATGGAGACATTAACACTGCCTAGAATAATTTGAAGATAAGTGCCGTTTGGCTTAGGTAATGTTTGTTCTATCTCGTACAGCTGTTGCTCCCTCCTTGCCATAGATTTTCGTAATTCTTCTCGCGTTCCTTTTGTGTTCAATCTGAAAATAGATAAAAGAAGAACCATAGAGATTATCACATGAAGTATCTCATTAATTTCAGCAATAATATCACAGATGCTCCAAATATTTTAATCAACATCTTTCAAGTAAAATAAAAGTATTAGAGTTTCTTCAGTTTTTTATATTCGAATAGCTCTCTTAAAATTTATTCTTCTATTGTATCATAGCTCTTCTATCGTATGAGTTCTTCTCTATATTGTGTAAACTTACTGTTTCAACATCTTGGATATTATGCCCATACGATATTTCTGATGTGAGAGACCTTTAACACATTTTGCTTGCAGCTCACCGATCTCTTCTAATTTTGCAAGATACTCCCTATTTAGTGCCTGTCAACAGATATAAAAATCTTTTTAGAACACAATAATCACATACTTCTACTTGATTACCAATAAGTAATAATTACAGATTTATAATACACGATTGCTGTCAAATATTCTCTTATTCTTTTATTATTCTTTAAATTACATTATACATTTTTTTATACATTTATCTCACACATACATTTTATATTTTTATTTCTCTTATCTAATTATACTGAAATAATTTGAAAAATAATCAATTTCTGTCAAAATAATAATCTTCATACACAATGTAGTCTTTATTAACATTTTGTAATCTCCTGGAAATAGTAAGAAAATAATCCAGAGGCGAAAATAATATCGAAAAAATATACACCAAAGCGTATATGTGTATAAACGACGATTTATCAATTGTCATTTATTTAAAGTTCATTAGGTAGATTTATCAAAGGTCATGCGAGTGTCACACGAAATCGCTGAAATCTCCGGATCCTCCGCCGGCCAGAGCAGTATCTTGCAGTACCTGTGCCAGACGCAACATAACCTCCCCTCCCGCGCAAAACCCGGGATGATTCTCTCACCTCGAGTGCCTTGTAGTCCTGCGCCAGATCGTCCCATTCCTTGGTCAGTCCCGGTTCACAAATCTCGGCGTCCAGGTCCATTGCGTCGGAGAAGACGTCGGGTCAGGTCAGGTTAATAGGCGATCGTTTGATTTCTCTCGTCGATGTTCTTTCACACTTTCTGCTGCTTCCTGCACTCGCGGACACGTGGCGAAGAGAGAGAGAGAGGAGAGGAAGGAGGGAGAGAAAGAGAGAGAGAATCAAAATTGAAAAATGCGAGGAAGAATATAGGAAGGACGGCGGAGCTAAAGTACAGCCGTTCCAGGTGCATACGTCATTCTCGTACACCTTCGAACGGCGGAATGTCGAGGAGATCGAAACCGGAAGCGAGAGAAGGAGCGACGAGTGAAGAGCAACAGCCGGTGCGCCGGATAGAGTTAATGATAGTGCTGTCGCTGATAACGCTGATAATGGCGCGACAAAGGTCAGTTAATAATGTGCTCGTTGATGGGCGAAGATTATTTGGATTATTAAAATTTAACGGTCGAGCGATTGTTGATGTCGATACTCCAGGGTATCGATATTTTATGCTTGATATCCAGAGAAAAGGAGAGAGAATGAGAGCGAGAGATACTTCGCGAACTTTGCGCGCGCTTAAGATTTCGGCTAAAAAAACATCATTGGAAGGCATAAAAAACAGTTAATGAGAACAAATAACATATATTAGAATAAATTGCAATTATAAATTTTAATTACTAAATTGTAATTATTTTCTATATATTTGATAATAATTATAGCAGTATATTTTTCATCAATACATTTTGAAGTAATAAATGTATAAAACTAAGTTGTATATATTACTGATATAAAATGAATTAATCTCAGCCACGTGATCAGCGCACGTGATTTTGATGACAAATGACGTGCATTTGCTACCTCTGGAATATAATATAAAATAAGTTGAAGACGAGATATCGTGTTGATAATAAATCCGTTATTTTTATCTATATTTTCTACACTTTCCTGTTAAATTACCTGATTTTATTTTCATTAAATTTCAAGTGTCAAAAGTATGTAAGAGTGTAATTAGGAAGAAAAATAAATAATGTTTAAGATTTTGCAATGCATTAGAGAAAAAAGGAATCAAAAGATAAAACATATTTAATTCAAATTTATTGATCAGAAAATATTATATATAATTGTTTCATGTAATAATTTAATAACAATTTCATAATTATTGTAGTTAAAAAACATATAGATCTCCATTTTTTTTATTTTATAGAAATAAACTAAAAAGAAGAGAAACGAGAGGGGGGAAGGGGGTTACCTTATTTATTTAAAGTACTAAAATAATGTATCTTTCTTGCATCACCCAGTAATAAGATAATATGTATGTATGTTGCAAACAATACCCAAAATCCCAAAATTTTTTCAATCAGGAACATTGAATAGAAGCGCAATATCAAACTCCTGAAATTTACATAGACGTGATTTATTTTGAATAAACTTAGCATATCTCGAGATAAAATTGACGTGTTTCTCTCATTCAAATGTTCCTTTGCATTATTTATAGGCGCTTAAGGTTGGTTTAAAATTTATTGAGGAAATTTATTGAACAAGAGAACTCTTTTTTTTTTCATTCCGAAGGTGGATCCAAGTATGAGTGGATCCTGAAGCTCGAAACTTTAAATATCCATGAATTTCTCTCATCTTTTTATAAAGATAAAAGGAAGTTTAAGCAATACCAAGAATTTTATTTATTATTAAATTGCGGAAAATTTATTTCTTCTTAAAAAAAAAAACTGAACAAATATAAAATTATAATTTGAGCGCCTAGTGTATTAATCTAATCTTCACAAAAAATCGCGAAAGAGATTCTATCACACATCTCTGATCGAGATGAGAGGGATGAACGGCGACGCTGTTCTATATATAGATAAGAACATTCAGCGGCATACGATTTCCTGTTGCGAGTCTAAGCGACTCCCGTATTAAAGAAGGCAAAGATCATCGCGATCAGCTTGACTCTAGCTTCGCTTCGTTTCCACCCTGTCGGCCCTGTGCTTCCGGTTTACCGCGACCGGCAATCAGGAAGCCAAATGCACGGCAGTGAGCATCGGGATGCTCGCCAGACGAGTCCAACTCCGTAGAATGGTTTGTTAAATTGAGAGAGAGACATGCAGAGAGTTCGAACTTTGACACACCGGGTACAATCCAAGGATAGTTTACACCTGTAAAAACATAAACAAGTGTCAGTTTTCAAAGGCGGCGCTCTACGATGAAGAGAGGTGTTGTTATAATTCGATAATAGTGCCTCTAGCATAGTGATATGAAGAGAAGGGTCGATTAGAACTAAAATATAATTGTGTTGGTGCGTATATAAACATTTATATTATTAATAATTATTTAGACAAGATTGCAAGATCTGTCAATTGTTTCAGTGTGGCATGAAAATTAAATTTAGTTAAATAAATTAGCACAGTCTTCATATTTAATTTGTCGTTAAAATATCAGGATTTATTTAATCAAAAAGAATTAGTTTAATAAATTGGCATAAGTTAAAATTTTGAGGAAAAATTGATTACAAATCGAACCACTTTACGAGTACAAGTTAAAATTACTAATTAAAACTATCGGACTAAAAAAATTGCATAAAATAAACTTACATATACATATGTTTGAGAAACACTGTCTTAAGGATAGCGTCTTATCGCGTTAATGGAGTATTTTCGAGATTTCAAGGGTCGTTCGATGCAACCACACTCGCTCGTTAGGATGTTTCAGCTTATCGATTTTGCATTTTTTCTGTAAAAATAAGATGTATCTTTCTATAAACCAGTTAAACGAGAAATGATAAAGCGAGCTTATATATTTACATGTTTCATAAAACTGAGATTATTCATAACATATTACGTGAGATATTTCATAACACATTATATACGTCGTGTACATTGAGTATTAAAGAAGATTGTATCGGCAGCATCGTTTTGTAAACGGGTGCCTCGTGTTCGCCAATGAAAAACGCTCATCGTGTCGACGAGAGATAAAACTTGTCAATTCGTCGCGCTGAACGCGTGTATACGCATGATATGCACTTTGCTTCTATCGTCCTGTTTTCTTAATTACGCGTTTTTTTATCTCTCGACGATGGAACACTTTCTCATTGCGTGAAAGAAAAAAAAATATCGATGCGGCATTTCCGGTACAGAAAAATAGAGAGATTATTCATTTATCATCCCGTTTACGAACTGAAAAAAAAATATTATTATTATATGTTTATATAACAATGACATTGCGTTATATATATCGCAAAAGTCGTGTTAAAATAATATTATTCTCTCGCTTTTTAAAATAAAATTTACAGACATTATACTCGTGTTACCTTCATCCTGATAATTTCGTCGACTCGAAGAAAAAAGATGCTGAATCGTGAAACGCTGAATCGATAATACGATCTGATTTCTCTCCTCGACAGTGAAGCCGCGCACGGTCGTCGCACAGTTCCCACGAATTCATATACCCGGTGTCGTCGTGAAGATGCACTGGATGGTGCGAAGAATCCCGCGTAGGATCTCGAGGTCGGTGAACCATTGCGGTGAGTTCAACGTCTCGTTCTCCAAAGAACGCGGAACGCTTGGATGCGATCCGCGATACTTCATCCTGAATGAGAAAGATACCGCTCGTTCTTCGAGAAACGTCGTCAATCATAATGCGACGAGTAGTTCCATGTTATCGCAAACGTTTAAACGAAACTTGAGCACTTTTGCGGAAAGGACACCGCCTGAACCTCGAAGAATCCCTTTTTTCGGCACGATGTTGTCCCTGATGATGGCCGGCGGTGCGCAGAAACTGCACGAGTACGTGGACAAGAGGCATCGGAAACTGGGACCGGTATTCAAGGAACAAATCGGACCATTATGGATCATCTTTGTAAATTCGCCCGACGAATTCCGCAAGATCTTCCTGCGACTCGAGGGTCCTACGCCGCAACATTTTATACCGGAGGCTTGGAGGCTGTACAACGAAATCAGAGCGCAGCGACGAGGACTGATCTTCATGTATGCATAATGTTCTTCTATTGACACAAAAAAATCAAATGGAATTAAATGTTAATGATTAAATTGTGGTAATGGAAGGAAAAATTTCAATATTATAAAAGTTTTATTACGCTTTTTGAAATAGGGACGGAGAGGAGTGGTTGCATTTTCGCCGAATCCTCAACAAGACGATGCTGCTGCCTAATCCGACAAAACTGATGTGCGCGCCCTGCCAGAAAGTCGCCGAGAATCTAGCGAGGAAGTGGACGTATCACAGTTTAGCCGGTTCTACGATACCGAATATGGAATGTCAGCTCTATCAGTGGTCTATCGAGGGTAAACTTTTACACAAATGATTTATTATTCGTATCTAGTATTTTTACTATTACTGATTAATGATTAATATCAGATTACATTTTGTCAATTAGCGCTACACGTTAACTGATGGCATAAAAGTCGCGTGTTCTCGTTGCAGTGATGCTGGCGACTCTGATAGGTTCGCGATGGCGAGATTGCGAGCAGCATATGCGTCCCGAAACGGAGTATCTGGCGCAGATGCTGCACCAGATCTTCGTGTATTCCACCACTCTGTCGATGATGCCGGCCAAGCTGGCGATGAGACTCAGATTGCCGGCATGGACCAAGTTTGTCCGCACCGCTGACGCAATTCTGGTCACAGTGCGCAATCTAGTCTTGAAAATGATCTTTCTAGACAGCGACGGGCTTCTACGAATGATGATAAACGAGGGTATCCGCGACGATGATGCCGTCAGAATCGTCACTGATTTCATTATAGCCGCCGGCGACACAGTGCGTTTTCCAATTCATTAATTTAAACACAAAGTGTTTGTGCGTAATTCATTTAAATTTGACAAAGAAAAAATGTCATTAATTTTTCGGATTTGTTTCAAAAACAGAACCTTTTATAAGATTTTATTCCATATTTTTCATTCAAAATTGAATTATTTTTTCGTTTATACCATTAATTATAAGATAACGTATTTGAAATATGATACGCCAAGATGTTTAAATTCTATTTACAGTAACATATATAATTATTTTAAATCCTGATGTTTGCATCGAATAGCAGCATTTTAGTCAAGGAAAAGTCGATTGTAGATGATTATAATTAATTATTATAATGAAAGATGATTATAGTTAATTGTTATAATTAAAATTACGTAGAATATACCTCATATAGAACAAGTATCAGTTTGCGACCGGTGTTATTTTAGACGGCAATCTCCATGCAATGGGCGTTGCTGCTGCTCAGCAGTCGTCCGGAGCTGCAGGACCAATTGTTTCACGATATCAAGGATCTGCCGCCGGAGGAGATTCTACGGCATCCGCTGCTGAAGGGCGTGTGGAAAGAAGCGCTAAGATTGCACCCCGTCGCGCCATTCCTGTCGAGATACATGCTGGCGGACAACACAATCGGCGATTACTTCGTGGCGAAGGGGGTAATCTACAGAATAATAAATTTTTTCGTTACATCATATTAAATTCGACGATGCTTATTACGTAGACAAAAATGTTTGCAACTTACAAGAGATACACAGCTTCCTTTTCCCTCTAGGACTTGATTGTCCTGTCGATTTACTCGAGCGGCCGTGACAGGAACGATTTTCCAGAGCCGAATGAATTCCGGCCAGAAAGATGGATCAGAACGAAGGACGGTTCTTATCAGGGCGTGAAGAACTCGTATGCCACTCTGCCGTTCGCGATGGGTGTGAGGAGCTGCATCGGTCGCAAACTCGCCGAAACGCAGATGTCCCTCACGTTGGCGCAGGTGAGTGCAATAAATCCAATTCGTGTTACGATCTCGTGCATCTCATTTTTTTCTTTGCAGCTCATCAAAAACTTTAAGATCGAGTGCGAAAATCGTGACAGTATAAAGATGATTTTGCATCTGATCTCTGTACCATCGAGGCCCATTCAACTGAAACTGACGGAAAGGAAATTATGATGAAGATGTTGGAACTACAGAAGGAAAGAAAATTGATAGAATAAAGGAATAATAAATATAAAATATAAAAAAATTAAATTCGATTTATATGTATGTACATAAGATGCATTTAAAAAAAAATTAATGTATTAAATGTGTTTTTTTTTTAATATGAGAAAAATTTAATGATATATACATGAAAAATAGCACACGGAAATTTTAAATAAATGCTTTTATATTGTGTATAAATGTGCTTCAAATGTATGCGACGCGGATACATACCTCGTTTATGCATGATAAAATATATACAGGAATATAATATAAATATAACATTCTTATAATTACATTATTTTAGTAAATATTGGAAAGAAACGATCGAATTAGATATTACAATTAGTATAAAATCGGTGCAATTTTTTTTTTTTTTTAGAATGGCTTACTTGATAACGACGAATGCACTAATATTTTTGCTATTTTATGACGAGAATAACGACGATGAAATATAGTAAAAAGGATTTTAGAGGCATACAAAGCAGGGTTTTACCTGATACCAAAATCCTAATAATATATAGCGATCACATGCGATATTCAATCATCGACAAACATCCGACACGTTTTGAGGAACTCGTGACAGCTTTTAGTGTACAAGATTCACTTTTAGACAGTAAAATAATCACAGAATGATTGGAATGCTATTTCCTCGGCTAGCACCGCAATTCGAATTTGAAACCGATAACGTGATTGGTTCGCTTCTTCGATCACTTTCAATACTTTGATAATCGCAAGATGCTTCTTTAATAAATTTTGATTTGCATTAGATCGTTAAAAAAATCGATTGACATGAAGCCCACTTGGCGCGACAAATGCTTCGAAAATTGTTTGATTAATGTGATTCAACAGAGAAAATAAATATTTACCTTTTATCTTCTAATCGATCAATTAAACAAAGAATCAGAAACTTTGAAATAATTTTAGAATGTAGCAACCACATAAATGAACAAGGTAAATATAGATCGGCATACTCCTTAATCATAAGCGACGCATGCGCGATTATTGGGGCGCGCAATTTTTAACAGCGAAAGGTCCTGAGATACGATTTCTCTAGTTAGTGTCAACTGGATCCATTTTAGAACCGGCAAAACTACATGGCCAGATTCACTTTTCGGTGCCACGGTAAAACAGCCGGTTGCATGTTCGTGCTAGATTCATAATTGTGAATTAAAATTGCGGAGAAATATTATAAATTTATTAATGTTTTATTAATTGCGCGTGATGTTTTGTCATTTTAATATATACTACGGCCAGCGATAATAAGTTATTATTGAAGTACTTTTATGTACATATACACGCATATGAAATAAAAAATAAATTTTCTTTAATCAATTTTCTTAATAATTTTTTTCCTAATTTTTAAATATAACGGATAGAAGATATTTACAATAAATTAAATAAATGCTTTCGTGTAGAAGATATTTACGATAAATTAAATAAAAGCTTTCACTTTTTTCTTATTCTCGAAACAAACTTATCAAGCATTTTAAGCAATATCAAATTATGTTTTTAACTTATATAGCTTTTTATAATTAATTAATTTATTATTAATTATATTATTTAACTAATTTTTAATTTATAAATTTAGTTGGATATACACTAATGCGCACCGATGCACATTAAAAGCGATTATATACAAATGTATATAAACATAAGTAATTAAAATAATAAGATAATTAATACTACATGTCTTTTGAAAATAAACACATGACGATATAAATACACGCCGCTTAAAGCTATTTTCGCTCGAAGAAGATTCTTCGCCCTCATTTATTCACTAAACGCTTCGGAGCGAAAATAGTGTCAAACGGAGCGCATTTATTGAATATATAAAAACTTTTATAAAATTTTTATATTTCTTATATTTTTGAACATAATTTTATTTGATTAATAAGATTTCTGCAAATGAAATGACAAAAAAACGCGACATTATTCGGATAAATTTTAATTAGATACAAATTTAAAAATCAGATACAAAATTATGTTTCTTATCTAAGTAAAAATTATTCGAATTATATCGTATTTGATGTCATATTTTAATTGTAAAAATCTCATTAATCCATTAAAATTATTCTCAAATCGGTAAAATGTAAGAATCTTTTTCAAAATAAGAATCAAAGTGACAGAAATCTAAATTATAAATTATTGTTTTGTAGCGATCTTTACGGACAATAATTATTTCTTTAACAACAAATAGAATTAAATATATTTTGTTCACGGCTATATCATTTGACTTTTTGACGATCTAGATATAATTTGGATTAAATATTCGGCTTTGGCGACGTAAACATTGGCACGCTATTGTTCATGGCTTTGTTATCATTCATACAACAACATTTGAATAGAACTGTAGTGGGGCGAGACGCTCAAATTCCTTTCCTACATATTATTATTTGCATGGCGACACTCGAGCAGTAAAGTAGCAGTGCGAGATACTCCGTTAAATTTCCTAAACGCGATTACAAGTACCGGGAAATAATTTGACAAATAATTTCTTCAAAAATATTTCAATTTAAATATATTTTGTTCGCCGCTTTATCGTTCGACTTTCAACGGCATGTAAATATAATTCGAATTAAAATCGCGCAATTAAACAATCGGATCGCGTTGTCGCGGTATCGCGTTTTCGCGTCGTCGCGTCTTCGCGTTGGACTT